AATATCTAAATTATATTTAATTTAAACTTGCAAAGTAACTAATTATGCAAACTCGAATTTTGATTTTTTTTTTTCAAATTCAAAAAGTTCCATTCAAATCAATAAGATAGTACTTCGATAAGTTCATTCCTTTATTTTTTAAATGTTTAGAATTGAGAAAGAAATGAGATTTTCTTTTGCATAAGAATCGAAAAAATTGAAATTATATGATTATTTTCTAATAGTGAAAAAAACTTATCTTTTATTTTCCTTTGTATATAAAGATAGTTTCTAAAATTAAATTAATGAAAATAATTTTTAAATGTAAAATCTTAAAAAATTTAATGATCAAATCAAATTTTAAATGCTTAAATATTATTATAAAAGATAAAATATAAATAATAAAAAAACATTTCATATCTCTATTTTTATTGTACATAACATATAATGAATCTCGTTTTGTTATATTATCATCAAATTTTAATGCTATATCTTCTTATTATTCTTTGCCTAACTATTATAGCAAAATTGCCAGAATTTTTCTCTTTAATCTGAAAAAAAAAAAATTGTTTTTTCTCTACAATTTTATTTAAAATATATGCAATTTAAGTTTTAATTTTACAGTTATTAAACTATAATATTTAACATAATTTTACTTTGATAATTAACAAATTTTTTTTATTGTCAATTAAAATATTTTATATATCAGTTGACCAATAGAAAATAATTAATTTCTTTAAATAATTTCTTTAATAATTATTTTATTTTTATTTTCTTCTAATAATTAAATATTTTTAGGTTATTTTTTTTTTTTTTAATAATATTTAGCTATAATTCATAATTAATATAGAAAACTTAAAGTAATATATAGATAATATAGAAAAATATATGATATATCTACTTTATAAATTTGTTTTTCTGATTAATTAATTATTTAATAAATTTTTATTTCTTTGAATTTTTATTCATTTAAAATTATTTTTTCTTTTTTAGAAATAATAAAATGTTTAAAATTTTTATTATTATTATTATTATTATTATTATTATTATTATAAAATCATTCTTTATAAATTTTCATTCAGTCAAAATACAACTCTCAAATAAAATAATTACTATTTATTTATTTATTTTCTTAATCATCTCCATAAAAGATAAGAAAAACATATTAAAAATATGTAAGTTTATTGTAATTATATTGTATTATTTATATTTGTTATATTTATTACATTATATATATTAAATTATTATAAAATAAATACTTATTCTTTTTTATTTATATTATTTTTTAAATAAATATAATGCTGTTCTAATTTCATCTAATTATTACTCATTTTTATATTATTTTAAGTTATTATTTTAATTTTTTTATAATATCATGTAGAATAATATAATTTATCTTCTTTTATATTTTGTTAAATATATACCTTCTAAATATTATTATCGAATTAATATAATCATTTTGTTAATTTTCATTTATATTATTCTAATTAAAAATATTTTAAATTACTATGTATAAACTAGTTATAGATTATTAATATATTGTTATTAATCTAATCATCTTTGAAGAATCTATTCTAGAAAAAATAAAATAAACATAAAAAGAAAGTTAATATAGTTCTATGTCTATTACATTATCCTGATATTCCAGAAATATATCTTGTATATTGTACAATTGCAGCCATATTCAAAAAATACTTTATGTGTTGGATATTTTATTTAAAAATTCTTTTAAGAGTACTTTAGCTTATTATTTTCCTTAATGTAAGACCGTAAATTGTGTAAAATCGACAAGAAAGATTACACAGATATTCAGAAGATCTATTGAAATGTTAGTATAATAAATATTAGTGTAATAAAGACATGATAAAGCATAATTGCAGCTGTTATTTCTGATATATTGGTTATAAGTCAGTGACAAAGTATGCGTTTACTATAGAATTCGATAGTGTTGGATAGGTTGAGCAATAAGATTTCAGAGTTTCATGAATTCAAGTGTCAAATCTGTTTTATAGATATACTTCTCTATTGTTTCACAAATAATTAATGGAAATGAATCACAATTGAAAATGAAAGAAAAAATTTTGAAATAGAATAAAAATAACAAAAAGAAAGTAATAAAATTTACATAATAGATTTTTTGTTGTCTTGTAATTTTAAATATAGTTATGTATTAATTTTATTTAATTTTTATGCATTCTTCTTTTTATCAACAAATAAAATATATTCAAAATAATTAATTGTATGTACCATATTGTTAATTTCATACAATTATATATAACAATTTAATGAACATAATTTTATAGATATTAAATAGATATAAATTTTATATTCTTTTTTATGTAAATAAATTTCCATATACATACATTATCCAATCATTTTATTATTAACATTTTACTTTATGCTTTAAAATAATAAGATTAATGCATATATTACACTTTTGTTTCCTTTGCATTTATATTATTGGTATATAAAATAATAAATACAAAAAGTTAAAATTTAAAACTTTAGAAATTTTAACATTTAATAAAAATAAAATTAAAAAAAAAATAATATTATAGAAATATTATAGAAATAATAAAAAATTTTTGAAATGTATCAATAATTTAAAATTATCGATAAAATAATAAAAAAATTTATTATTTTAAAACAAAAATAGGAGAGATCATTTTACTTTTTATCTTACAATAAGAACAATTTGATCTTTATAATCCTTTATGATTGCTAAGTTTAAAAATGCCTATTGTTTTTCAATAAATTAATATTATATATTACTCTGCTTTTTTTCTCTATTATATGTGTATGACACAGAAATGAATCGAAATAAATGAATGTTACTATATTCGAAGAAGAAAATTTGTAAGTTAGATCAAAATCTCATCGAAAAATGAGGAACGAGAAACGAGAATGCGTTGGTGTTCCAGCCAGGGAGTGTCGCAAGGATCACCGATGCTGTGCAGCGAATCGTTGCATCGTGCATCCTGCTCGTAACAGGCAACCAGTGAAAGGAATACGCCCTGTGATGATCCGTGGCAAATCCGGCGATCTGAATCCTGTACCGAGGTCGCTCCGGTCCGTATCTTGCTAGACATTGTAAAGTGGTCGATTTAATAACGCCTATTTGACGGCTGCGTACCATCCTGTTAGAAGCTTCACTTCGCTCCTGCATCGTGAATAATTGTTATTAGTTGAATAAGAAGAGTTAAAGAGTTTATATCGCTGTAACTGATGATATACGAAAAAAAAAAAAAACTCTTAAATGTGAACAAATGTTAACAAGAAACAACTATCGAATGTCAAAGAAAAGAGTGCCATTAAACTCTTGAAATTATGTTGTATTATCTATATATCTATATTATATATAATTATAATTTACAAAATATTTCATTCTTTAATTATATAAATACCTAATTAAATATCTTAAATGTATGATTATGCTTATTATTATATTTATACATATATGAATATAATATATATATTATATAAAATATATATATATATTTATATAAAATATATATATATATATATATATATATATTACATATATATTATATCAATTTTACACTTATGTATAATGTATATTAAGTTAATATCTATTTCAAACATCTAAAAATAAAAAACAATTTATTTTTTAATTTTGAATAAAATTTTCTTTTTTATTTATTATTTCCGTATTAATTCCTTAATTGATATTTCTTCTGATATTTTCTTACAAAACTTTCTTTTAAATTAATTTGGTATTTAAGATACTAATTTTTTGAATTTTCTGAATTTAATTAATGATATGCAGATGCCAAATTAAATATGTATGTACATTTACGCACAAATATAAACAATAATGAAAATAATTTATTAAAAATGTAAATAATAATCTCTTTTACAATTAAATTCCATTTATACGTAAATCATTAATTAGGAAAATAAAAAATATTTATATGTTCTATAGTAAATTTATGGATAGTTCTTTATGGTATATTTTCTTCAAGTTTAAACTTTTCCTTTTAATAATTTTATTTTAAATATTTATCATAATCATATTCAAGTCTTCTTTATCCTTTTTTTTTTAATAATAGGAATTTTTTATTACAATACATTAATTTTAAAACTCATATTATTAAAAGTTTTTTAATCTTCAGTATCAAAATAATAATTTATGAATAGAGTTTGAAAAATAAAATTTCAATATAACAATTCTAATAATATCTAAATATATTACAAAATATGATTACAATATATATATATATATTAAAATAAAATGAAAATGATAAAAAAAAAAATTATTTCAAAATTCACAATTCCTTAAAGAAAATAAAATAATTAGACAATTTAATGATAATAATAAATTATTAATGGAAATAAATATTTTGTATAATCATGTGATTAAAGAAATAAATAAAAATAAATAAAAATTTTAATTATGAAAATAACTTTAAAACAAGCATAAAATAATATAATGATAATAAATCGTTATATAAATATATATATATAATAATATGACTTTTTTTATTTTCATAATAAAATTCTACATGTGATTATAATTAATTCAGTGAACAAATGTTAATTCAAAAGAATATTATGAGAAATATTAAAAAATATTATATATAATTCATATTTTTTTATATATATTTATATTCCATAAATATAAGATATATAGGTATGTATAATATATTATATTGACAAATAATCAATCCATAAAAATTACAAAATTTATATCAAATTTATACTATCAAATTATTCATTAAATTATTCATCAAGTCATATTTAAAATACTTTATCATATATATATATTTCATTTAGAAATACTATTTTGTTACAAAATGTAATAATTCAATTAAACACATGTATGTATATATATATATTATTTTTTTTTTTAAGTTGAATGATATTCATTAAAGATACAATTAATATTCTGGTTATAAATTATAGAAATAGTTAAAATATATTCTCTCCCCTTCAACCTATTTGAAAGAATGGCGGGGCGGGAAGGAAGTAGAAGCATAGTACTGTGGCGACTATAAAACCTCATCGTGATCCATCTGATTCCATACTTCTAAGCACTACCAGATAGAACTAACTCTTGTCACGTGTCTCTTAGAAAATCAAAGTGGGCCGTGATCGAATATTATTTTTTTACAAATCGTGTAATGCCAAGTGGCTTTGTGATTGATCCAGGATTTTGACGCTTTACTATCGCGCAGTCATTATGAAGATTCTTGTGAGTATAATATCTTATTTTAATTCCATCTTTTTATATTTAAAGTAATCATGTTAATTCATACTTAATTAATAAATACATAATCCACATTTTTTAAATATTTTTAAGCGATTATATAATTATATATAACTGTTCTATAACATATATTATTATTAATTTAATATGTTTATTATTAATATATAATAAATTTAATTATTACATCATCATATTTTTTATACATCATTAATAGTATATTATCTTAATGCATAATATATTGAATATATAATAATAATTAAGATATTTTTTTTATTTTATTTATTTATTTCTTTTTTAATTTTGCTATATTTATATTTAACACTTTTCTTCCTTGGAATTATTTCAATTTCTTTAATATAAATATATGCTTAATATTAATAAAATTGAGAAAAATTACTAAACAAAATTATTAAAAAATCTTATTATAATCTTAAAAAGTTCACCATGTACTACAAAATATATAATATTATTCTTAATAGAAATAACAATACAATACTTTAATTATTTTTATCTACATCAAAATTTATTCTTTTAAAATAAATCTTGCAATTTTAGTTTTTGATTCTAATAGAAATTTTAAAATATTTAATCAATAAAAAATTTAAAATATACTAAAATATATTAAATATATCTCATTTGTTTTATAATATTTTGCATAAAGTCTTAATTCAAACACATATTAGTAAATATATTAGTTTTGTTTTATTATTATTGACATATTATACATGTACATTATTATACATGTATTATATATTTTTTCATATATAATCAATTATATGATTTAGTTAATTATTTCTATGTATCTTGCAAGTATAAAGTTATAATTTTACAATACAATTTGATTATATTATTAATTTTATCCATAAATTAAATATACATATGAGTACAAATTTTTATTGAAATTTCATTTTCTTAGTCATACTCATAAAAATTTTATTTTGCATAAATATCCATAGTCTACTGATAAGTTAATAATTACGAGTTAATTTGTCATCAAAAAAAAAAATATTATATAAAGAATATTACAAGAAACTATAATTATTTATTAAATTTAATTAAGAAGCAAACAGAAATTTACAGAATATATTTTCTGCCAAGAAAATTTAATTACTTTTTATTACTTTTACCCCTTTAAATGAATGAAAAGAAAATATAAATACTTATATACAACACTTATACATATATACAACATTTAATGATTATATATTATATAATAATAAATTTTATCCATAATAATAATAAATAATAATATTTTAATATTATTCTAAATATCTAAATATCTATTATATACATATACATATAATATAATGTAACATACTATTAATATAATACAATTATAATCATAGATAGATAGATAAAGAAGACAATACTAAAATATGCAACACATCATATAATTGCATATAATTATTCATAACTTACATAGCTATCTACCCACTTACGACTTATTCCATTAGCCCTTCTTTGTAACTTGGCAACTGCATTTAAACAGCTATGTTATTTTGTAAAGAGCAAAATTAATTAAAGAAACATAGATATGTATAAATAATTATACGTATATATTATTATTAATTATTATACATTAAATTCTAACATAAAATGAAGAATATTCTTTCCATTTTTTTGTTACATATTTCTATTATAATAATAAATTACATATCTGAACAATTTTTATCTTTTAAATAAATATTATTTTAAAATTAATATATTTTTTCAATATATACATATATATTTATCTAAATTTATTTAATAAATGGAATCCTAATTTATGAATTATTTATATAAAATACGTTCCATTAAAATTTTATTTATTATACTTAATATTTTATATTTTTGTTAAAAATTTTTAATGAAACATTTCCGGATCTTTATTTTTTTGTTTTTCATTTATCATTTATTATAGAATAAATATGCTGATAAAACTATTAAAAGTTTTAATTTTTTAATTTTTAAGCTATAAGAGATTTTTCCTTATTAAGTTAAAATAAAGTATTTAAAAAAAAACAAATCTTTTAGAAAATTTTTGTAATATCTTTAAAAATCATCTGCATTAAATTAATATTAAAATTATAAAATATTAAAATGAAATATAGCAAAATCTATTATTTTTATAATAATTTTTTTTTATATATCATAATTGCAACGTAGTTCTGTTTGTTTTTTTCTAACAATAATATAATAAAGAAAAAAAGAGAGAATAACTTTATAACTGTTTTTTTTTTTCGTTTATCCTTAACGATAGTCACTTTATGCCATATTTGTTTAGTAAATATTATATATATAAGATTATTAATTAAAATATTATATAGTATTTTACTATATATTTAAATATATTTTACTAATATTACTATATAATATATATTATATATTATATGTGGATGTATTAATAATATAATATATTTATACTATATAGTATTATATTATTACTATACTATTATCTATCAATCATATTTTTAAATCATAATTTTTTTTTATTTTTACTTAAATTAAAGTTATCTTTTTTTTTATTCAAAAAAAATTTTTAAATCTTTAAGAAAAAAATAAAATAATATTGAAATTATATTATTCCGTTTGAAATAAACATCATAAGTTTCATTACATTATATTATAAAAAAACATAATGTAACAAATTACATAATCGATAAAGATATTTTATTCAATGTATTCAATATCATAATTGTGAAAAAAAAATTTATATAGAAATTACTTAATAATGAATTATTTAAGAAAAAAAAATAATATGAATGATTAATATGTTCATTTATAATCTATAAGACTAAAACATCTAAAAGATTTTAATAAAAATTATGTTATTTATTTGAATAATAATAAATAATAAATGAATTCTTGTTTCTCAGATTTTCTTAGGATTTGCAACGATGGTTTGTGCACAATATAACAGATACCCGTACAACCCTGATTATTATGGTCGACGTTTCGCCATACTACGACAGACACAAAATTCTTCTCCGGATGGATCATACTCCTACAGGTGAGATCGTCCTTCCACATAGTCCTGAACTTCGAGAGCGATAAGCGTTGTCGAGTACATTTCCTCAAAAGCAATCTCGACACGCTTGAAGAGTCTCATTGTCAGTCTTAAAAATACATTGTCATTCGTTCGTATCATTCTTCGTTTCGAATTTTTAATATTTTTTGCATTGCTTTATACTTGATAATGTGTACTAACTTTAATTTTGATTTTTCTCATTTTTTACTTCAATGATTTATTAACACTTTTTATTCATTAGTTTTAAATATCTTTTTTCTTTTCAATGAAATATATATAATATTTACATTATTGTAATAATATTTTCAACAAAATATATTATCATATAAAAATGATAATAATATTAAATGAAGAATTATAAAAATTGTATTTTTAAAAATATTATAAAAATTTTTGCTTACATTATTATTATATTATATTCAATATAATATATATATATTCTTTTTATATGTATTTTAAAATTTGAATATCATGAAGTTATTACGTAAATGTATAAATCTTATCTTAGCAATTTGTTAAATTGTATTGTAGTTTAATTAAAAAGAAATTTTATTTAATGTTATTAATAATTTAACTTTATCATATATTTTCTTATAAAAATTATGTATTTGATGTAATATTTTTATATAAAATGATATATTTTTTTTTGTATATAGTAATTTAGCTTTCTATCACGCTTGATTTCCTTCAACCTTGATAAAAAATAAATTTTAAATCTAACACGAACAAGTCTAACATTTAAGATTAAATTCATTTCTAACATAAGATCGAATTTATAAACTGCTCATAAAAAAATTTTTAATTACTTTATAAATTTTATATATTTATAATGTTTATTATAAATATAGTATTTTTTTTAATAAATAAAATTCTCAATCAATTATTGAAATCGCATTATATTTTATAAAAATATTTATATGTATATTTATATCTTATCAAATTTTAATATTTAATTAAATATTAATATTTATTAAAACATCGTTATTGATACATTTAATTATTATAACATTATTTGCTTTTACAGCATACTATCTTTAGTTAATTTTCTTTTATATTTAAGAATTATTACATATATTTAGAAATACTAAATTTATTATTATTACTGATAAATAAAATATTATTTAATAAAAACATTGAAAGAATTGTGAAATAATGAATACAAGAATAGAAAATATCTTCAATAGAATATCTATTGAGATTTTTCATTTGATTAATAAGTAAAGGCATAAGATCGAAATAAAAATATAAAGTATAAAATTAATAGAAATCTTCATCTAATGATTCAAATAATTCCAATAATATAAAACGTTAAATCAAGTATTAGCATGATATTAAAAATCGTGAAAAATGTAAAAATTGTACAAAATATAGAAAAAATTTTTATATTTTTATTTATTTTTATTTATCAAAGAATTTTTATATATTATAACATTCATGTTATATAAAATATTTGATTATTAAATATTTTTATATTAAATAAAGACATTATTTTTTTAATTTAAATTATAGTGTATATGTGTACTCTTTCATTTTTTTTGAATATATATTGAAATTTAACTTACAAACATTTATATTTATCAATATTCCTGGTTATTAAAAATTTGCCAATGTCAGCTATTTTCTAGCTTATTCCGTTAACCGTGATATACAGACAAACACAAATTTAAAATTGAGAGTACGGAAGCGTAAATACATAAAGGAGTGAGAAAGAAAGAAAAGAACTCACAGGATATTCAGCTGTGAAAAGATATATAATTAGCATTGATGTTAATCATTCGTGTTAGTCGGCTGCGCAGTTAGCAATAATACATTACACAATAGAATAATTACGATCGACCTACCTACCTATCTACCTACTTGCTACTGTATATAAAGACCTGAAGATCGTGCCTAAAACTTGGCCCCTCCTATGACATATAATGTTTAAGGAATCAGACAACTAGTTTATCTTATATTTTATGGAGATGGTACTTTCAGAAAACAAAATGATAATATTTTATCAATTATTGCATGAACACAAAATTTTTAATAATTGATTACGAATCATTATATCATTAATCATATACTGATTCGTGAAAGTATTTATATATTTAAAAAATATTCATGGACGTAAAATAAATATTATACACTTTTTAAAATGTTGTTAAATGATTAATAATGATTTCAAATAACTTTTTTCTTTGTTTCCTTCTCGATTTTATTAATGAGTTATTAAAAACAGTGGCCAATTATACAGTTCGGAGAATTATCACGCTACGATGATAATTGCCACTGGCAACTCGTAGCAACTATGTCTAATGAATCCGACAATTGGCATTAATAAAGTTGAAATGAAAATTTTCGTAAAGAAAAGCTTGTTTGAAAACACTTCAAAAATTATCAGTTAAGTTTTATCGATTTACTTGTAAGTCATATATCTATTAATATATGTATACTCTCAACACATAGAATGCAAATTCATAAAATCATAAAATAACAATTGTTAAATTTCATTATTTTTGAATTAAATTTTATTTTTATTTTTAATTCTATTATTGTTAAATTTATATCTAATAACATTACATTAATAATACTACATTAGTAATTTAATTAATATAATACAAGTAATTTGATTAATATAAATTCTTTAAAAAATAATTAAAAGATAGATTCATTATGGAAAAATTTTTTGTAAATATGATTGTATATATTTCATATTTTAATATGATTCCAATGATTTCAAGAATAATAATGAATGAAAAATGGAATAAGATAAAATGAATATATGAAATTTTATATGTTTAATCCATGTTTAGATGTATTATTTATATCTCAATGATTAATATTAAGTATATTTATATCCTATAAACATTTTAATATTATTAGAAGTATTTATATTCCATTGTTCAATACTAGATATATTTGTATCTCACATATTTTTAAAAATTATTTTCAAGTTTAATTTTATCACGAATTTAATAAAATATAAACAATTCGATTGTTTATGATCTTTATTAGATTAGGTAGACAATATAATCTATGCAATCAATAAGATAGAATTAATTAAAAAGCTTATAAACTGCTATAAGTTTATATAAATATAACTTGATCTATAATAAACGTTCTTAAATATTTATTAATCTTAAAAAATAAAAAAATAGTTATTGACAAAAAACAAATAAATAATATAAAATTTTTTTAACAAATAGATGATAAATAATATATATTTGAAATAAAAGTAAACGATATGTTAAAATCAATATGAAATTAGAAACCAATCTAATTTAGTCAATTAATTAATTCAAACTCATTTACTTGAAAATTCAATTTACTATACTGTTTCTTTATGGACTCATTTATAACTCAATAAATTTGCACGTAATATTAAAATAATTAGATAATATATAGCTAAAACATTATCAAAATATACACACGAAGGCAATGTGCTGTCTGATCAATATATCATTCCTTTCACTGCATGATCATCAACACAGTACAATTAAATCATTTATAATCAGTAATTTAGTAAGTCCATCTTTTTATATTATTTAAACTATTAAAGATATTTTGATTTGAATATTGTATAAAATTATATCACATACCTTCTTAATACTCTTGATGTTCAAATATTCAATCTTAATAGAATTATTCTATTTTAATTAAATGATCTATCATTTAGAAATAACATTTTTTAGAATTTAAAAATGTAAAAATGTAAAAATTTATTATACGAAATTATGAATGTGATTTCAACACACTAATATACTCGTTTATTATTATCTTTCAGTTTGGTTTATTCCAATAATGCAGTTATAATTTGTTTTTTCCAATATGAAATTGAATAGAAAGAGATGATTCTAATGAATTTTTGAATATCAAGATCGTCTTAATAATACATATAAAATATATATTAAAAATATACAAGATTTATTAATTTGAGAATAAAATTATTCAAAAATATTAACAAATTGTAAAAATGTTAAGAAGATTAATAGATTATTTAGAAATAAGATAAAATCTTTATATCTAAAGACATATTTGAACATCAATTTTAAGAACATGACTTTATACAATATTCAAATCAAAATATTTTTTGAATTAAATAGTTTTATATTATATGAAAACTTTATAAGAAATGTTGATTTGTACTCAATAGTATAATAAAAAATACAATTTGAAAAAAGTAGTAAATTGTTTTTCATTTATATTCTCTATATTTTTATTGCAAAAAAATTATTTATATCAAATTGTATACGATTTGAAATCATTCAATTTTCATTTAAAATATTTTTATACGTTATCAATAGTTTAGTAGATATTGTGAGTGAAAACATCTAAATAATGTTATTTAGATATTTATTTTAATGTTATATTATGATTATTTTATTTGATAGATATTTATCCTCTTATTTCATATGTACAATTTTATTCTAATTCTACCTGAATATCAATATTCTTGAATTTTAATATGAAATCTATGTTTCTTATATAAATTTTGTTTGATTTTTATTATTACTTAAAATAATAAAATATCTGATAAATAAATTACTTGAAAATAATTTATTTTTCAAATAAAATTATAGAATTTATTTATAAATATTTTTATTTTAAATTAATTTATTTCTTATTTTATTTAAAATCAATATCTGTTCTTTCATTTATTTTATTTCAAAAATTTTTTTTTGTATTTTCTAATCTGATAATAGTCCTCCAACAAAATCCTGCTCTTTTATAAAAATGAAATTATAACAATTTATACTGATTTTAATCTTTATTCATTAAATACTATGAGAAAATACAAAAAAAAAGTTAGAATAAAAGTTAAAATGATGTTCATGAATTGTAGCTATTCTATTTGTAATACTATTTTCATTTCAATAAAAAGTCATCCTGAAATTATATAACATTATATAAGACTAATATTTCTTGCGCTTACGTATATTGTTATAGTTACGATACAGAAAATGGCATATCTGTAGCAGAACAAGGTACACCCAAATTTATTGGACCGAATCAAATTGAATCAGTTCGAGGACAATTCAGTTACACCGCCCCGGATGGCACACCGATTTTGCTTACTTATACTGCTGACGAAAATGGTTTTCTACCAAATGGTGCTCATTTACCAACACCACCACCGATACCAGTAGCGATACAACGTGCTTTGGCTCATAATGCAGCTCATCCTGAAGAAGAAGAACCTTATAGAAGATACTGATGATGAACGTAAAGCATGTTTTAACTGTCTAAGAAAGCTCTAGTGACATAAATTGGAATAGTATAACATAGATATATAAAAAGATTTTCGAAACCTTAAGAGATCATAGATCTCTGATAATCAAATGTACAAGATATGCTGTAATTCATATAAATTCATTCTCAATAATTGTTACATAATATTTTTAATATTATTTTATTAATTTTTCATGCAAAATTTTAAATTTTATGTTGTAAAATATTTTTTTATATTTGAAAATTATATATATTTTACAGTTATGAAATACAAACGGAAAATAGTTTGTATGTATAGATTTCTTCTAAATAGTTGATTATTATTATATATAAATTATAATATAATAAAATTTAATGTAAAAAATTATGACATGATAAATTTATATTATCTTATTAAATTCGGAACAAATAATTTTTAATGTAATATTTTTAAAATATTTGTAAAAATAATCATATATTTTATAATTAAAACAGTAATATTTAAAAATATTATGTTCTAGAAAAATTGTGTTCTATGCTATCTAAAAGATTTTTTATAGATTCACATTGTAAATCACAAGCGTTTTTATGAGCGTTTATTAAACTTTAATATTCAAGTAAATAATTATGAGAATTTATGATTTTGTGGAATTTTATAAAATCTTGTACTTCAAAAAATACTTGAAAAATTATAAATCGATTCAAATATCTTTTCTATTTCTATGTTGTATTGTCTGATATGGTTTTAATCTACTGATCATATTGACTTTATTTAAATGCCTGCCACAAAAACCATATATTATAATATGTTGCTTTATAAATCCTAATACGAGAAGACTATTACTAATTTTAATAAACATATATTTTTCATATCCTTCAATTTTATTTACATTACATTATTTTTTACATATTTTTTTCTTTTTGCATATAGTGAAAGTTACTTTTGTAAGTATAATATTTTTTATATATATATACCAACAAATGTGCAATGAAAAAATAATGAAATGAAAAAAAGAGAAGGATACATAAATACTGAATATTATTTTATACTTTGCTATATCTCATATTTTATTATAATGTATATTATGTATGTATAAATATATTAATATGAATATCACAATTATTTGTGTATTATATAATTTACCCATTAATATTAAAAAATATTAAAAGAAATTATGAAAAATAAATAAATATAGATTTATTTTATTTAACATAATTTATTTATTGAAAAAAATATGTAATTTTAAGTCGTAAATCATTACATCTATTATAATAGTATAGTAGTAATTCATAGTTCAATTTTTTCCATAAGAATGTTTATTTTAATTTGATAACTATATTTTTGTTTTAATTTAATAATTTAAATTTGATTATTCTTATAATTAAAAAGTTTTTTTTTCTTGTAATGCCCAGACAATAAATCAATTTTTCCTTAATATAATCAATCGATTAATAATTAATTAATCGATAAATTTTTTACATTTATTATCTATTATTATCTGTATATTTTACTTTTACTATTATATGTTTTTACAATAATGCATGTAAGAATTCAAAAGATTTAAAAATAATGAAATTTTTATTTAAATCATTTTTTAATAAAAAAATTCAATAACAATATTTTATATTTTCATTTATTTTATTGTGATAGAACATAATATAATTTATTTATTATTTTTAAAAATAGTGTAGATTTTCATAAATAAAATAATTATATATTGTTCATGCAGTTTCTATATTAGTGAACTAATACTATTAAAAAAACTTTTTTAAGTTTCAATGTATTTTTTGAAAAGAATAAACGAAATTTTAAAAATGCAAATAATATGAAATTTTCTGGTTTTGTTTGAAGTTTAAAATTATCGAAATAGATACTATATTATTTAAATATTGCTATTAAACAATTTTTTTATTTTTAAAAGAAATTAATTTCGATGAACCTTTTAGTTTGAATATTTCAATATATTCTGTATGTCGAAAAAATAAAATTATAATTAATATAAAAAAAGAAAATTATGGAAAGTGAGAATCATCAAAAGTCGTGATTCTTCTCAATTTAATTCTGATGTTAAGAATAGATTTTTAAATATGATATTTTACAATTTAAATTTAGCATTAAATAAAAAATCGAATGTATAAAAATAATGTATAATATTATATACTTTTAATTGAATGATCAACTTTCGATATAATTATATCTCGATATTATAAATTAATTTAAAATTTTTAATAATTGACGAAATTTATTTTAAGTAATTAATACGATTATCTTGAATATATATGATATCAAGCTATTATTTCAATTTAATTTTGTACATTTCGATCAAAAAATAAAAACTTTTATATAAAATTATATTTTATCATTTAAAACGGGATAATTTTGTTTATTTTTCAAAATTTTTGAAAAACATATCACAATATACATAATAAATTTTAATAAAACTCTATCTTTTTTGTAAATAAAATTATTTAAAATCGAAAAAAAATTCAAAAATATGATATACATTATAATAACGAATTTATTAACTTTATTTTCCAATAAATATTAATCAGATTTATTTAATAAAAATTAATAAAAATAAATAAAGAAAGAAAATTTTAAATTAAAGATAGTTTCAGGATTTTAATAAAAAAATATAATAACGAATTATGTATGTATATATAAAATGTTCAAATAACATACACAAAAAATGTAAAGAATGAATTTAAAAATTAAAACAAATGGAAAAGATAATATGCAAAAATGTCTCTTGAAGTTTATTTTTCAAATAATTTATTTTGTATAAATGAACTGAAGTAAAAATAAAATATGAAAGAAATAATTGTTTATGTTGTAGTTTATATTTTAATATTATTATATTTAAATATTACTTTACATAGTAGTATTTATTGGAAGAAATCATTATCAACTAGTGATAAATTATACTTTTAATAAGTGCGAAATTTTAAGAAGAATAACTGAAATGCCAGTTGAATTAATGTTAATAATAATCGTAATATCACGTTAAAGGTGAGTCAGTGAAAGCAAATCATCGGTCTCTTGTCCATTGCACAACGATCGACCGACCGACCGATCATATAAATGTTGGTAAAAGGATTCAATGCATCTCTTGTATCATCTTGCTGATCATGTGATTTTTAAATTTTTATATTAATTAAATTCTACAAATTGTTTTAATTCTTAAAGAAATATATGCAAATTTTTAAATAATAATATTAATTTTAAAAAAATAATATTTAAATTCGATTCGTTTCAGCTTATTATTTTACATGTGATCCATCTCCTTGATTATAGTTATAATTTTGATATCATGAAAAACTATTAATATTAAACGATTATTAAACAATTAGTAAATTAACAATAATTTCATTATATTTATTATATTTAATTTAACATACAAAAAACTATTTTAAATAATAAATAATTTATCGATAAGTATCAATAAAATATATCAAAAAAAATTCATTAATTTAGAATTAGTATTTTTTATTATATTAGTTAATTTTTATATTACACAAAATTATTTTTATACAGTACATATCAAAATTGATATAATGTTTAATATCAACAAATATTAAATTCAATAGTGCACTATTTCATACTTTAAATAAAGCATTTATATAAAGTGAACATAATATTAGATATCTAAGTATATATCAATCCTATATTTTCAAAAATAATTTCTAATATTCAATAATAATTATTATTGAATACCTATTTGTATCGTACTATTATTATAGTTATTATTGTTTATATTATGTGGAAAAATTAATTTCGTGCTCTTAGATATATTCTTGTTTTCTTAATTTTTTTTTAATAATTATTTAATAATTATTAAGGTTCAATTTTTTTAATGATTATTTATTAATTTAGTATTTTCTTTTTATTTTTTTGAATTTTGAAAAAATAGTATCTATTTTTTATAATCATTTTATAATTTGAATAAATAATTAAGAATATCATTCTGGTAAGGAAATTTATATTATAAAATTTATAAATTCAATTTCTCTTTAAATGAAAAGTATTTTTCTGTTACGTATTATGTTATAATTATATTATAAGCAAAATTTTTTACATTATTATAATAAATCTATATTAAATATTCTATATATATATATATTAATAATTCATAAATACATTTAATATTAATAACACTTTCATCTTAATTTTCATCTTAATTACTTTAAGAAAAGACAATATATGTATATATTGGGTGTTAATATATTCATGAGATATGTTTGAAAAGTTAATTTTAGATACTAAAAAAACACAAAAGTTGTTATACAAAGTTATTAATTGAAATTTATTTATTAACTTATAAGCAATTTAAATTTCTTAGATTAAATGAAACAAGATGAAAATAAAGTAAAATTGCTCTATGTTGTCATTCTGTCGCTCTGACTCCGTCTCGCTTAAATTATATGCAAATATATATGAATGAAATATTCGTTACGTCATAGTCTGTCATTCGCATTGTCTCACTTAATATAAACTTAAATTTATATATAACGTAATAAATTAGCCTTAAACCGATATTTTTGTGTAATAATAAATTTTGTATTTATTTTCAAAATGATATCCCACTAATATATAAACTGTATATATATATAAATATATATATAAATATGTATATAAATATGTATGTACATATTTTATATAATTTTACTTTACTTTAAAATTTAATATCCATTTAAAAAATTCTTTTTATCAAAATTGAAAAACCAGAAAAAATAACCAGATTATATCAGCATTAATGAAATAATTAATAAATTAATAAAAATAAATTTTGTTATCATTTATTTCATATACAATTATTTTAAAATATTGTTTCTATAAAATTTTCAGATTAGGTAATAATTGATTTTAGTAAAAAATAAAAAAATTCTTCAGATTAGTCAATATATAATAAACTGTTTGTATTATTGTTTTTTAATGGAAAATTATTTTTAATTTTGCAAATTGCAAAATTGTTTTATACAATTAAAAAAATTTAATGTAAATTTATTAATATAAATATAAATATAAGAAATATAAATAATAATATAAAATTATAAATGTAAGAAAGTAACATAATATAAATTAATATGAATATAAG